GCTTTAACCCACTGAGCCACACAGGCACCCTGATATATGACCTTTTTATCCAATTGTCATTTGATGGACATTTGGATTATTTCTGTGTTTTGGCAATTAAGAATGATGCTGCTATAAACACTTGTTTGCAAGTTTTTCTGTGGACATACATTTTCATTTTTTTCTTGGATATATACCAAGGAGGGGAATTGCTGAGTCATATGGTAACTCTATGTTTAATTGTTTGAGGAACTGCCAATTTGAGGTCATGGTCTTTTAATTAACTTAAAAATTATACCTGTTCTGGGGCATCTGGGTGGCTCAGTGGGTTAAAGCCTCTGCTTTTGGCTCAGGTCATGATCCCAGGGTCCTGGGATCGAGCCCCGGATTGGGCTCTCTGTTCTGCAGAGAGCCTGCTTCCTCCTCTCTCTGCCTGCCTCTCTTGCTTACTTGTAATCTCTGTTTGTCAAATAAATAAACAAAATCTTTAAAAAAAATTATACCTGTTCCTTGGAAAATATTTTAAAATACCAACAATTTTTTTTTAATTTATTTATTCTTTTCAGAGAGAGAGAGCAGACAAACAGGGGGAGAGGCAGAGGGAAAGAGAGAAGCAGACTCTCCACTGAGCAGGGAGCCTGACATGGGGCTTGACCTCAGGACCTGGGGGTCATGACCTGAGCTGAAGGCAGACTCCCAACCATCTGAGCCACCCCAGCACCCCCAAATACTGAAAATTTTGAGGATAGAGACATTTAACTCCACTACTCAGAGAATATCCTTGTGGGATACTTTTCTGTGCATAGTTTTTAATGAGATCACACTTGGCATGATATTTTGTAGCCCATATTGTGAACATCTTTTCATGTCAATAATTATCTCCATCAGTAAGTTTCAAAATTATTTTACTCTTGGAACCCTTTCTTCAAAAGACCATTTTCTGAAAGCCCAATATGTCATCATTCAAACATCAACAATTACTAATTGGGCCCTTGCCCGGTGCCAAGCATCCCTACCTGTCCCCATGCCTGTTCTCTTTAAAAGTCGCAGGTATTACGAACTATAGAGGAGTCACCGCATTAGCTGCTCCCCTATAAGAACACTCAGCTTGCTCTCTGTGCTCAATGAACATAGATTTGTGTGTACTTTTATCATCTTTTTAAGAGAAATCCCTAGGTGTCTGGGTGGCTCAGTCAGTTAAGCATCTGCCTTTGGCTCAGGTCATGATCCCAGGGTCCTGACTCAGCGGGGAGTCTGCTTCTCCCTTTCCCTCTGCCCCTCCCCTGCCCATGTGCATGCGCGCTCTCTCTCTCTCTCTCTCTCAAACAAATAAATATTGAAAAAAAGAGAGAAAGAGAGAAATCCCTAGAAGTGGGATATTGGGTCACGGGCCAACCTTGGACTTGGGCCTATATGAGGTACTGGGAGACGGGAGGAGAGACAAGTGACTTGGTCCCTGTTCTTCAATAGCTCAGTCAGCTTGAGGAAATGAAATCAGAAAAGGGAAAAGGAGATTTCAATAAATAGAGCCACATCTTCCAATAATTCCCTTTTATTATTTTTTTATAGATTTTTATTTATTTGAGAGGGAGAGAGAGAGAGAGAGAATGATGGGGGAGAGTCAGAGGGAGAAGCAGACTCCCCGCTGAGCAGGGAGCCCGATGCGGAACTCAATCCTGGGACTCCAGGATCATGACCTGAATAGAAGGCAGTCGCTTAACCAACTGAGCCACCCAGGTGCCCTTTTTTTTTTCTTTTTAAAGTCTCCCAGCATGGAGCCGAGTGTGGCTTAACTCACAACTTTGAGATCAAGACCTGAGCTGAGATCAAGAGTCAGTGTTTAACCGACTGAGGCACCCAGGCACCCCCAAATCTTCCCTTTTTGGAATTAACACTGTATATACCTGCTGCATCAGTGTGAAAGCTAATAACCTAAATGTTCAGCATTAGGGAAATGAATAAATATATGGCATTATGGTAATTTGGCTCCACCTTCAAGTAAAATGAAGAAAGCAAGGGTAAAACAATGTTTCACACAGTTTGTTATATTTGTAAAAATGTGGAGATACATGTGCTTATACATATATAAACCTGCACTGTGGACTATGGTAGCCACTAATCCCATGTGGCTATCGAGCCCTTGAAATGTGGCAAATCCAAGCTGAGATATGCTGTGATTGTCAAATGCACCAAAAAAAAAAAAAAAAAGAAAAGAAAAGAAAAAAAGTATCTAGGTGCTCCTGGGTGGCTCAGTCAGTTAAGCAGCTGCCTTCTGCTCAGGTCCCAATCCCAGGGTTCTGGGATTGAGCCCCACATCAGGACCCTTGCTCAGCAGGAGCCTGCTTCCCCCTCTCCTTCCCACTTGTGCTCTCTTTTGCTATCTCTGTCACTGTCTCTCTCTCTCTCAAATAAATAAAATCTTTTAAAAAAAGCATCTAAAACATCTAATAATTCTTGTATTGATAGTATGTTGAAATGATAATATTTTGAATATTTAAAGTTTAATAAAATATTAAAATGTCAGGTGTTTCTTTTTCTATTTTTTAATGTGGCTACTAGGAAATTTTAGATTATGTGGCTCATATCTGTGCCTCCCCATTATGTTTAGGTATGTGGCTCATATCTGTGCCTCCCCATTATGTTTCAATTGCCCAGGACTGTCACAGACTATCTCCAGAATATCCAAGAGACTCATATTGGTGGCTGCCTCTAGGCAGGGGTCCTGAAGGTTTGTGTAGAGTGGGAGACTAGACTTTTCAATGCTGTTTTGCACCATTTTATTTTTCTCCTTTGTTTGAATTTTTGGTACCATGGCCCAATTTTTAAAAACCATTTAACATGTCACAAACCATGACAGAAAAGGCACTAGAAAAGTGAGTCCCACAAAGAAGATGCTGTGCAGCAACAGGCTTAGAGAAGCAGAAGGATTTTGCAAGCATGTGATAATTTTCTCTTCTTTTCTGCCAAGGCACTGGGGTCACACAGGACCCTGTTAAGCAAGCCCAGAGCTTGATATGTACAATCCAGAGCCCAGGTATTCCTTTTATGGGGAATGGAGCTTTCCCCAGCCCAGAACTATCATTGTAACCAGGACCTGGCTGGATGGGAGGAGTCATTCCTCTTATGATATGATTGAAAATATTTATTTTAGCTTATTTTTCTTGATTAGCTTTTTCTTTTTAAGATTTCCTTTATTTATTTGAGAGAGAGAGTGAGAGAGAGCATGAGAGGGGAGAAGGTCAGGGGGAGAAGCAGACTCCCCATGGAGCTGGGAACCTGGCATGGGACTCGATCCCAGGACTCAAGGATCATGACCTGGGCCTAAGGCAGTCGCTTAACCAACTGAGCCACCCAGGCGTGCACCTTTTCTTACTTTCTCTCTCTCTCTCTCTTTTTTTATTAAGCACATAATCTGTGATCTAATTGGCAAAAGGAAATTCAGGAAGATATACAGAGCTGATGTATGGAATGCTCTGGAATGACCCCTCTGTGATCCTGGCCTCTCACTGGACCAGAGGTGACCTCTGAGTGTGGAATTTGAGAGGATTCAAGAGTATAATACTCCCCTACCTTTTGTTGGACACACACACACACCCCTCCCCACACCCTGTAGAAATGTGTGTGTGTGTGTGTGTGTGTGTGTGTGTGTGTGTTGGATGGGAGTAATCCCTGCTGGGTTGATTTCAAAAATGCAATCCCTCAGTTTTCTTTCTGGTCTTTGAGGTGGGAGGCCTCACAGACGGTCTCCTCGCTCACCCACCCCACTCCCCAGGACAGTCACATCCTGGGCTGTGAGTAGTGGCTGGAGGTTGGGAGCTGGACCCCTTGATCCAGGTGGATGAACCGGAAACGTACCTGAAACCTCAGCCCTGTCCAGCACGAAGCACAGCACCTGACACATCACAGAAGCTGAACAAAATGTTGGGAGAAGGAAATGTCATGATCTGCATGCTCAGTTTAAACTAGTGACAGATTCAGTTTCCCTGGCCATCAAAGAAACGTCAACTAAACAGTGTGATGCCATTGACCTCACTTTAGCCAAACCCTCAGTGGGCATGAGATATTTACATAACTTTGTTCTGAGGTGGAAGCCACCTTCTTTGGTCCCAATCGCCAAAACCTATGGCTAGGTCAGCCATTAGAGCCTCCTCTGAGGCCGCTAGAGAAAATTGGACCCCTTGGGGTCACAGATAACCTGGGGCCCCATGAGTTACACGGGGCCCCCACCTCCGGTCTACCTCCTGTGAGGGTTGGGGGAGGCTCCGCTTGGCAATTACGCTTAACCTACGCTCCGCGCTGCGGGTCGAGCGGGAAGGAAGCCTTCAGGAGCTCCTGGGGTGAATTTCTGCTTTGCCACTTGCCCCATGTGACCTTGAACGAGCTAATGAAGTTTTCCACGCCTCAGCGCCCGGGTTGGTAGAGTGGCAAATACAGTCCGCACCGTGTAGCCGTGTCTGGCAAACTCCCGGAGTGGAGCCTATTGGTGGGTGTAGGTGATGTTAAATCTGGGGCGGGGGTTCCCTTGGAGAACACCCTAGCGGCTGTGGCTTCCTCAGGGACCTTCTCCGCCGGGGATAACTCCAAACACATCCCGAGAAGCAGAATGTGGGCAGCCAAGATCCTGGAGGCCAGGCTAGGGCGGCGAGGGGCGGTGCGTGGAGGCTTAGGTGAAAGCCCCAGTCCTTAGCCGGGACCAGATTCGGGAACTGGGCTGGGCCGGGCTGGTCAGCCTCCGCGCCTTTCACCCCGTGGGCCCCGCCCTCGGTCCCGCCTTCTCCTAACCCGCGCCCCCATTGGTGGCGGCCGGCGGCGCGGCCGCTGTTATTTTTCGAATATATAAGGAGGTGGAGGTGGCAGCTGCTGCTTAGAGGCTTCCCGGACTGGTGGCTGGTCCCTGCGGTCCCTCCACCCCGCCCCACCCTCCCCGCTTCCCTCTCCTCCCTCGCTCCGACCCCGTGGCTCTTCCTCCCTCCCTCCCCCACCCCGGGCCCACTCCCCACCTCGCCCCGGCCAGCTGTGCGATGGAGCGGCCCCAACCGGAGCCCGCGCCGGGCCCGGCTCTCAGTCCCGCTGGCGTGCGCGGTGGTACCGAGCGTCCCAGCCACCTCCTGGGCCTCCAGCTGGGAGCTCATGGCCTCGTGGGGTCCCCGGAGCGCGCGGCCGCTTCGTCGCCGGTCACCAGCCTGACCCAGACCATGCACAACCTCGCCGGGCTCGGCAGGTAGGACGCCCGCGCACTGCGATGCTGGGTGTGGGGTGTTGGTCCCGGGCCTCCGGTGGAACCCGGCGTGGGAGGCAAATCTGGGAAGCGGAGTGGGGAGGTGTCCTAGGTAGTGCCTACTTCAGGGACCCGGGACTACGGCGATGAGGCCAGGTCTGTGCTGCGCACACTCTCGAGGTGACTTGCTGTTGGCAACACAAGACACTGGAGATGGGACCACCGGTCCCATTCCCCCCGCCCAACTCCCCCACCCCTGCCTCCCGCGTGCCTCCACCACGCTGGCTCCCTACCGTCTGCCCTAATCACCACTATTTTGCCCCAGGCAGGGGATCCTGAGCCTGGAGTGGAACTTGAGGATGGCAGAGAAGCCTGATTCTCTTCTGTCCTTGCCCCTGCTCCCTCCATCCCCAGTTCTTTCCTGAGGTTAAGGGGTTAAACACTGGTCCTGCTTCCTGAGCAACCTGCAGTGTCCAGGCTGGGTTGCCCTCAGCAGCAATGGAGACCTAAGTCTTGCCCTGGCTCCAGAAAGGCTTGTGGATGGATAGGGGTCTGAGGAGTCCCGAGGAAGGCCCTCCAGGGCTACTCTACTGCCCTGCCATCCCCCAGAATGGCCCTCAACCCACCTCCTTGCTCTTGCCCTGGGCTCACCTCCCCCTGAACCCAGGAGGACCTTTCTTAATCAACAAAGAAAAGCTACTTAGTGCCTCTGCAGAAGACCTGAGAAGAGGGCAGGCCCTCAGAGCCCTCCTTGGGGCAGGGGTGAGCCCTTCAGAGGTGGGTGGCTGGTGGGAACATGGGCCAGCTAGCCCTTGAGCCCCACATTGACATTTCTCCTTCCCTGGGCTCCTGTTGCCTTCCCAGTGAGACTCCAAAGCATCAGGCAGGCAGCCTGCTCTCATGCTTGTCCCTGTCCAGGCGGCGGGCATCTGAATCCTCCCTGTCCTCCCAGTCCTCTGAATCTTCTGATGCAGGTGAGGCTCAGGGGTACCAGGGGGCTTGCGGGGGTGCTGCCTGAGTCTCTCCACTTCACTGCTGATCCGACTAACATCTTCCCCACAACCTGGTGGGCCCAGGAGCCTGCACCTGCCCACCTCTGGTGGGGCTCCCCACATCCAGCCCAGACTGGCTGAGCGGGCGGTAGTGCGGGTCCCTCTTGGGGAGATGAGATCTTACCTATTTAAAACCAGGCGCCAAAGTCCCTGAACCACAGCCCCAGCTGGGAGGCATTAGGGTTGAATGTTGGTCATTTTATAATATTCACTTGCCTTCAGCGGTAACCTTTTCCTTTAAAAAGTTATTATCTCTTCTAGAACAAATTAAACCAGCTTAAGAAAAATGCTTAGCAAAGTTTTGGCTTAAAGCCTATACAGCTGAGGGGCACCTGGGTGGCTCAGTTGGTAAAGCATCTGCCTTTGGCTCAGGTCATGGTCCCAGGATCCTGGGATCGAATCCCACATCAGGCTCCCTGCTCAGCAGGGAGTCTGCTTCTCTCTCTCTTAAATAAATAAATTAAATATTAAAAAAAATAAAATGTATACAAAGGAGTTTCTGTAGTAAGGAGTGAGTAGAGCCCTTCCCAATTTTGGGGGCAGTGTGTTAGCCCTTGGTGTTCATGGGCAGAGTTTTGTTTCATTTTTTTAATGTATCAAGATCTAAACTAGAAACAGGTTTTTCCTTTCTCTGAATAGAATTGGGACATGGTGGGGGAATGTGTACAGAGGATGTCACTACTTTCAAACAAGGTGCTCTGTCCCCCCAGGTCTGTGTATGGATTCTCCCAGCCCCATGGACCCCAAGATGGCAGAGCAGATGTGAGTAAAGTGATCCCCACTACCAAGGAGTTGATGCCTACCTTAGGGAATCCTAGTTTCAGCATAAACCCACTAGGGAAAGTCTGGGAGAGTGGACAGACCCCTTCAATCCACATGTGGGGGTGACCTGTTGATCTCCCAAGTCCTGAGATTCTGCTTCCTGTCTCAGAGCAGGTTCTGCTCCCGCAGGAGCAGCTGAGTGTGGGCTCAGAGCCAGGTGGTGGAGATAGAGGCTTATGGGAGCACTGGATACTTCAGCTAGCCCCTGGCCTGTGGGAATACAGGTCTGGTGTATGCCCCTTTTTTCTTTTGCTTATACACATCATTTTTTTTTCTATGAAACATCACAATTTTAAAGTATGGTCTAATGAATTCAAAACCTTTAATTCACTGTAGGCCAAACAGAAACAGTTGTGGCAAGTTGATTCAGCCCTTGGCCATCCTATCAGCAACCTCTGGCTTCAGGGACACTTTCCTGCCAACCCCTGGACCAGGCCCTTTACGAGAGAGTGGAGAGGGAGTTGTACTCAGGACAGGTCCTTCCTCCTGGGTTGTGGGGCATGAGTAGTATCTTCTAGAGCACAGCTGTCCCTATCCAGCTGTTAGAGCCCCAGCCGGGAGAGCAGCTGCCAGGCGTTAGTGGGGACAGCTGGGCATCCCCAGACTGGGCAGAGGGACTATGGCTTTGGGGTTAGGGCAGTGGCTGTCTTTCCTCCCACTGCCTTTGATCAGACTGGGCTGGGCTACAAGGTTTGTTCACAAACAGGAAACCGGGAGAGAACTGGGTGGGGGTGGGGGGACTGAAGGTTGACAAGCCAGAACTGTCCCTGCTTTACTCCTACAGCGCAGGCACAGATGGGAAACCAAGCCAATAAAATTCATCATTTCTAATGCCAGGTTATCTGGTACAACCCCTCCCCAGCCCTGGGAGTCATGCCCCTAACACTAGCCCTCAGTGGCCCTCCCCCACCAACCTCTCCACCTGCTTTGACGGTTACAGTTTCTCAGAAAGAAGCGTGTGTGTGCGTGTGTGTGTGTGTGTGCACGCGCGCGCCCCTGAGCTCACATAGACACACAAAAGCCCCGCGTGGCAGGTGGTCTCTGGTAACATAGCTAGGGGGTGGGGCCTATCTACAGAAGCTTGTGCCCCAGCCTCAAAAGGAACATCTGTTGGAATTCTTTGCCGGCTGGCCTCTTCTAAGGCAGGAGAAGGGGGTGGGACGGAGGCTTGGTCCTAGAAAATTCCATAGGAGGGAGGAGAGGATGTGACCCTGAACATTTGTCACTAGGGGGTCTGGCATGGCACACTGTGGCTGATCCGGGGACACACTAAACCAGGCCCCTGTCCTGGGGGGAGCTGGGACAGCCCCCACACAAGGGAAGGGAAGCCCAGTCTTGCTGGCATCCAGGCCCTGGAGATACCCACATTGGCAGCCACAGTCTGTCATCATGGGACGGATGGATGACTTTCCTGGCGGCCATATGGCCCCACTGAGGTGATTTGCATACAGGTGGAAGGCCTGTGGGCAAGCTGGCAAGACCGTTGCCTTGGTAGCGCCTCAGCTACCCTGTGACCTCCCCCAGCTGTCTCTGTTGCTCCATTCTCTGGGCCCTCTTCCATTCAGGGCAGCCTTCAAAATCTCAGGCTGCTTCTCCTCTCCCCCCTCCCCAATTACCTGGACCCCTGAGAGTCCCCATCCTTCCCTCCCCTTTCTACTGACCTGAGCCCTGGCCCCCAGGCCTTGTGGATGGGAAGAAGGGGCTGATGCTGGGGCTGGGCTTTGGGCTGTAGGGGGAGGTGGGCTGCATGGGACTTTTCTCTCTCCTAGGTTTGAGCAGGCCATCCAGGCAGCAAGCCGGGTCATCCGAAAGTAAGTGTCCCAGACTTCCTGAAGCGGGCTCTGGAGGTCCATCTACCCCAGGCTCTCCCCATGCCCCCCACTGGATGGAGTAGGCCTGGGAAAGGTGCTCTCCCATTGCCTTCTCCAGGGATGTGCAGGGATCTGTGCCAGAGGGCCATCCTGTATGCTCTCCTGCACGGCCCCCTACTCTCCAGCCCTGACGTCTCCCTGTTTCTTCCTGCAGTGAGCAGTTTGCCATTCGACGTTTCCAGTCCCTGCCGGTGAGTACCCTCTGAGGTCTGACACTGGAGGCTCAGGCCCTGGCCAGGCTGGAGGAGGGGCAGGAGGGATCCGGCGTCACCTCCCAGAGGGCAGACTTGAAACGGTCTGGTGGCCCTGGTCTGGCTGTGGGAGATGGGGTTTTGGAGGTGGGGGAGTCGGAGGAGGGACAGGAGAAGGTAGAGTCAGGGCTGGTGCCAGAGGAATAGGGCCTTCAGTCCTTCCTGCCCTACCTGGCTCTCTAGGTGAGGCTTCTGGGCCACAGCCCTGTGCTGCGGAACATCACCAACTCCCAAGCACCTGGCCGCTGGAGGAAGAGCGAGGCATGTGGCCGAGCTGCCCAAAGCTCTGAGGAGGACAAAGAGAATGTGCGCGTCCAGAAGGCTGGAGTGGGAGAACTTCAGGGGGATAAGGAAGAGGGTGTGCTGGGATGGTTCTCTGGCATTTGATGACACTCGCCCATGTTGCCCACAGGATGGATTTGTCTTCAAGATGCCATGGGAACCCCCACATCCCAGCCATGCCCATGCTTTGGAAGAGTGGGCCGACCGCAGGGAAGCCTTTGCCCAGAGACCAAACTCAGCCCCTGACCTGATGGTACACTGGGAGAAAGGAACCCTGCAGGGTGGGCTTTTGTGCAGGGTGGGCAACCCTGGAGGCAGCCTGGGTGGGGAGGAGGAGGGGGACCCTGAACCCAGAGGCAGTGGCAACCTGTTCTGTGCCTCAGGTCCCACCCCTGAGCAGTCTGTGGCTGTCCCCCGCCCCCCCACAGTGTCTCACCCCCGTGCGGAAGATGGAAGTAGAGGAGCTGAGTCCCCCTGCCCGATGCCGATTCTCCCTGACTGCCACCCAGGGGGCCTCCGAGGAAGATGATGGATTTGTGGACCTCCTGGAGAGCGACTTAAAGGTAACCAGTCTTGCCTCACCAGCCACTCGACCTCCCTTGTCCTGGGATCTCCCAAGAGAGGAAAGCCCTGATCTCCCACCACGAGACCATGACTTCATTCCAATGTCAGAAGAGGAATGCAAGCCGACAGAGTCATGGCACAGCCTCTGGCCTACCAGAGACTGGCAGGTGGCTGAGGCTGCAGGGAGGGAGGGCGCTGCAGTGCAGAGGCAAGGCCAGCCTTCCCGCATGGCCACATTTCCCAGCAAGTGGGGCCCTGCAGTTTCCTGGTTCTGGGGTACTGCCCTGTGTGGCTGTGCTGGAGGACCTGGGGCCTAAGGGGTTGCCCTTTGCCCATGGGTGTGACCATCCCCTTGCTGATTTGGCCTCAGGATGACAAGGCGGTACCCCCAGGCATGGAGAGCCTCATTAGCGCCCCACTGGTCAAGACCTCAGAAAAGGAGGAGGAGCAGGTGGGTCTCTGAGGGGCTGCCCCAGAACTGGGGGTGCTGGTAGGGGGCAGGGGCGGGGTACTCTGACCCCCGAACTGCCACCCCTGCCAGGACCTCATCATGTACAGCAAATGCCAGCGGCTCTTCCGCTCTCCGTCCATGCCCTGCAGCGTGATCCGACCCATCCTCAAGAGGCTGGAGCGGCCCCACGACAGGGACCTGCCCACACAGAACAAGCGCAGGAGGAGCGTGACCCCTCCAGAGGAGCAGCAGGAGGCCGAGGAACCTGTGGGTGCCCTCCTGGGGTGGGGCTGGGCAGCTACTGTCCAAGTCCACTCAGCCAGCACACCTGGGCGGGGTTTGTGGCAGCGGGCAAGGTGCAGGGAGAGAGGTGGCAGCCACACAGGGACTCTGAGGGGCAGCCTGGCCCCTGACCCTGGTCACCATCTACCCTGCAGAAAGCCCGTGTCCTCCGCTCCAAGTCCTTGTGTCATGATGAGATTGAGACTATCCTGGACAGTGACCATCGGGAACTGATTGGGGATTACTCCAAGGTATGATGGGACCCTTGGGAGGCTCGACCCCTTACTGTGTGGCCCCCTGAACTCAGAAACTGCTTTGGTACCTCCTCCCCTCATCCCACCTCTGGTTTTGTCCAGCACAGCTTCTTCTTTATTCTCCCCTAGACTCCTCTCTCTGGCTCTCCTTGGTCTCCTGACTCTACTCCAGATCTGTCTGGGGTGTCGGTTGTGTTTCAACCTTGGAAAACATTTCCAAACTAATATCTGGCTTGGAGCCTCCTCAGGTCTCATCCGGGGGGCTTGACAGAGTGTGAAGCAGGAGGTGGGGAGTTCGTCTCTTCTGTTCCCTTCTGCATTTCCCCTTGGAAGGGATTGTTCCCTGGATGTCAGGCCCAAGAGGCGTCTCTTGGTTGCTATGGGAACCAGAGCTGAATTTGAAGTTCAAAGCAGGTGTGGCTTTCTGAGCTTGGGAAAGAAACTATCCTTTCTAGGCTCCTAGTCTTGCCAATTTCTTCTTTTCTTCTCCTCTCTCTCTCTCTCTCTCCCCTCCCCCTCTGCCTTTCTCAATCTCTCTCCCCTTCTCTTCAGGCTTTCCTTCTGCAGACTGTGGATGGAAAGCACCAAGATCTCAAGTACATCTCACCAGAAACGGTACATCGGGGAAAGCCATTCTCCAGGCACATTTGGGATGGCCATTTGCCTGTTAACTTTCCTTGGGGATGGGCTGTAAGGCCAGACCAGTGGCAGGGTTGGGGTCAGCCCCCATCTGCCAGGCTGACCTGCTGGGACCCACCTCTGTGACCCACAGATGGCAGCCTTGCTGGTGGGCAAGTTCAGCAACATCGTGGAGAGGTTTGTGATTGTGGACTGCAGGTACCCCTACGAGTACGAAGGCGGGCACATCAAGGTGAGGCGGGCTGATAGGGACAGGCCCTGAAGACCCACCATTTCTATCCTTCTGTGGGAGGGTCAGTCAGTGGCGGGTGGCTGCACCCTCTCATGGGGAAGGATCCTGTCCAGTAAGAGGTGGGATCACCCACCTGGAAGTTGGGGATGGCCAAGGGTGGATGTGCCACCCAGCCCCAGGTAGGTGGCCTGACCTCCAGCTCCTCTGGCAGACTGCCGTGAACCTGCCCCTGGAACGGGATGCTGAGACCTTCCTGCTACAGAGCCCCATCACACCCTGTAATCTGGACAAGAGAATCATCCTCATTTTCCACTGTGAATTCTCATCTGAGCGTGGTCCCCGCATGTGAGTCCGCTAGCTAGTGTTTGCTCCTGACCTTCCCGCTCAGGCTTTGGGGTGCTGCCATCTGCTGCCCAAAGAGGTCTGAGCCCAGCCCCAGCCCCCACCTAGATCTGGGCCTCTAGTCCCCTGGCACCCCAGAGCAGACTTCACCCTCCCTTCCTGTGCATGGCACCTTCTCCGTACCTGCTCCCCATCCTTCCCATCAAACCTACGTCCACCCTCCATCCATTGTCACCACCCCTCCCCCCTCAAGATCTGCTTCCAAGTCTCCAGCAGTGTCCTTCATATCCAAGGGCCCTGTCCCTCAGCTATGCTGAGCCTTCCAGGGTTTGACTGATCTTTCTGCTCCCCGACTCTCATGCTCACCAAGTCTCATCCGGACCTCCTGAAAAGATCTCTCTAATTCTGTCCACTTCTCTCTGTTATGCTTCTCCTTCTCTGTCCAGGTCCGTTATCTCTAACAAAGATTATGAACTGCCTTCTAGAAACAACTCCCTTGATTTACCTCCTTCCTCCCATCTCTCCAGCTTCCTCTGGTTCCAGTAGCCAGACGATCTAAATAAGCATTCTTATGGCTGACATTCCTGCACTCAAGCCTTCTGTGGCTCCCCAAGGCCCACAAAAGACTGGGTGCAAAGAACAGGTCTCCTGAGGTATATCCTGCCCTACCACCCAGCTCTGACCCCCACGCCCCTGCTGGTCGCAGGTGCCGTTTCATCAGAGAGCGCGACAGAGCTGCCAACGACTACCCCAGCCTCTACTATCCTGAGATGTATATCCTCAAGGGCGGCTATAAGGAGTTCTTCCCCCAACACCCGGTACCATGGGGTGGGGCGGCTGAAGCCTTCCTGGGAGGGCTGGACTGCAGGGAAGGGCTCGGCCAGCCGGTAGCCCAAGGAGAAGGGAGGTTTCCTCTAAAAGTTCCCCATTCCCCCATATTGACGGACCCTCCCATCCTGCCCTAGACCTTCTGTGAGCCCCAGGACTACCGTCCCATGAACCACGAAGACTTCAGGGACGAGCTGAAGACTTTCCGCCTCAAGACCCGCAGCTGGGCTGGGGAGCGGAGCCGGCGGGAGCTCTGCAGCCGCCTGCAGGATCAGTGAAGGGCTGGTGCCAATCCTGCCTGCCTCCTTTGCCTCGCTGCCTGGGTGCCAGCCTCCCAGGGGCCTGTGGGGCTGAGGGTCTGCTCGAGGCCCCAACTGCCATCCAGGGGAAAGACAGTGAGGGTGTTCTGTCCATCTGCACCCAGCCCCGATCCCCATGTCTCACTGCAATCATATTCCACATCCTCGTGCCACCTCTACCCCAGCCCAGACCCGGGGAGAGCGCAGCCTGTTGACTTGGTGAAACTGGATTAAGTCCAGCTCAAAGGAAGTATTTTGTGTCCAGCAGGAACATTTTTGCTTTTTCTCCTTCCTTGTTTGAGTTAACCCTTTGTCTTCTTGTGTCCAGAAAAGCCCCCCTCTTTCCCAGGGGCTCTGTTTATACGTGTCTAGGAGAAAGCCACCCCCCCACCGCCGGGGATGGGCCAAAGCAGAACCCCTCCCTGCCCAGGGCGCTGGCACTCCTGGGTGTGTCTGCCATGTTCCCTTTCTCTTCCTCTTTCCCATCCTTCCACGTGAACACCTCTAGCACAAACGGAAGCTCTTACTCTTTCCTGTTTCAGTGTTACCTGCGTGCTTGACTCCTTCGTCAGATTTGGTGCCCATCTCAGGAGATGCATGGGCTGAGATTTTGGCTCCTCTCTCCACTTGGGGTTAGAGACTCCAACCATTAATTAGCCACTCGGCCCTGGCTTCTGTTGCCTCAGAAAGGGATGACCTCCTTGGGGGACCATTGGGCAAGGGCTAAGGTCTGCAGGCCAGCTCCCACTGCTGTGAACCCCGGGGTCCGATTGGTCAGAACTTGCTGCTCTCTTGTTGTGCATGGACAGTTGGATGAATGGATGGATGGCAGATGGATGGAGAGCCACAGATGCCCAATGTCCAGCACACACAAATGGCTGAGTGGAAGCATTTCAGTGAGCGTGACCACCTGCGGCAAGAACGGATGTGTGTCTGTCTGTGTGGACAAAATCTTTACACGTTAAGCTTTAGAGATACTCAAGACAAAATGTTGTGGAAGCGGTGAAGCCAAGGACAGAGCCACGTCTGGATTCTGAATCTCCGGCCGTGTGGAGGGCTGTGTTTGAAGAAGGCCCTGTTGACTCACCTATCCGGGCCTTGGGTCAATAAAGCACTGAGCAAGCGGAGTAACCTGCATCATGTCCTGTGGGCCTTTGACAAGACTGTGGCAGACCCTGAGGGCAGGATAGGGTGAGGGCAGGTCAGCAGATAGGGCTCCAATTCCCATACCTTGCTCTTTACATTTCCTCCCTTTGCAGCTGTTGCATCGTCAGGAATTTTCTTCCCCCATCTGTTATTCACCCTTTGAGACTCCATTTCAAAGGTTGCTTCCTCCCAGAAGCCTTCCTTCCTGCCCCATCAGAGAAATGACTTTCTTCTCCGTACGCCCAGCACCCAGCAGAGGTTCTACCACCTGGGAGATGCCAAGTTCAAGATCAAGAGAGTGGAAAAGGGCCAGTCTGGGAGAACCGGTCCCAGGCCCAAACCTGGGATCTCAGGAAATTCCCTCAGAATACCCCTGAAGGCGACCTCTTCCGCTAGATGTGAGTCTATGATTGTAGGACCTCCTTTGTACGAGTAAGGTAATGGCCTGATACAGAGTACATACAGCATGTCAGGCACCAATACAACTTTCTGTCCAAGTTCATCTACCTTCTGAACTAGGTGGTGCCAACGATTGTTGGCTCCATTTTGCAGATGGGAAAATGGAGGCGATTTCCTACTAGAGCAACAAGAGACTCTAGATTCCTAGGCTGAGTCTAAATGATGCTTGCTCTGTCTCCAGCTTTTCTCCCAAGATTCTTATGCCCAAAGGTTGGGGCTTACCCCCCAACACTCCTCCCACAAGGGCACAATGGCTGGGGAGGTGGTGTTGGGGTGTAGCTTTGATGGTCTGGGGATACTGGGCCTTTGCTCAGGAAGAGAGGGGCTTTGAGAGCTCCAGAAGCCCTCTCCATTGAGCAGGCAGCTGATACCAAGGATAACATTTATTTGGGTGAGGGGACTTGCCCCAGAAAAGGAAAAGTAGCTGTGTAGACACCCCAAGGAACAGTGAGAAACAGGGAGGCAGAGAGCTCTGGGCCCTGTTCCACGGAGATCTGCCAGCTCCACTCTGCTTAGGTGGTCTCGGGAAGCTCCATTCCGTCCTTCCTGATTATACAAAGGAGGAAGGCTGCTGGATGCCCAGAGAGGGGATATGCTTGCCCCCAAGTCACACAGCAGATAACAAGCAGAGCAGGCATTTCAGCTGCCTAGGATTCTGCCACTCTTCACCTCCTGCCACCGTTCCAGCCAAGGGGTGGGGTCAGGCTGCCTGACTTCTGCCCTGGGTTTCAAATTTCCACTCTGTGGGTTAGGATCAGGCCACGTGGGGAGGAGGGAGCAATGGGTGCTGAGAGTTTAACAATGCCCAGGCTGTGTGCCAGGTGCTGACATCTGAGGCTACATCTGTCCCACCATCAGAAGCACAGCTGTGGTCACAAGGCCTTTAGACTGTTCTAGACACTTGCATATTGTTTCTTAAGCTTACAAGGTTGGTATGTAGCTCATTTTGCAGAAGAGGAGGAAGAGGCAGGGAGAGGGCCTTGGTTAACCAGGAAACAAAACTTTCCCCAGAGAAGGTCCTGGTGCTGGCCTATACCCCGAGGGGAGTAGGCCTGAGCCTGGGGAAGGGAGTTCCAGAGGTTTGCCCCTCCAGCTCAGGCCAGGACCCCATCTACCTGGGAAGTTCAGGGGATGGGGTAGAGGTGGTCCAGTTCCTCCTCTCCCCCCAGCCAGAGAAGCTGTAACTTTCTTCCTGGATGCTCATAAAGGGGAGCAGATCCGGCAAGGAAGCGGTTTAAAAACCTGGGCTACTGGCCAGTTTTAAAGGTTGTTTTGCTTGGGCCAGGGCGGGGCAGAAATTCCAGCCCAGGAGCAGCCGTGTGCAGCTTGCTTCCGTGAGTAAAGGACTTCATGGGGCCAGGCACAGGCAGGGAGCTGGCCAAGTCAGTGGGCACTGGTGGGGTCTGGGCATCATCTGAATTGCTCACTAGGTCCTTGTAATAACAATTTTTAAAAAAAAAATTTCCATTATTTTATTCTTTTTTAAAGATTGTATTTATCTGTCAGAGAGCACACATGCGCACACGCACAAGCGCAGGGGGGGGGGAGACAGGCAGAGGGAGAAGCAGACTCCCCTCTGAGCAGGGGATCCTGATGCAGGACTCAATCCCAGGACCCCGGGATTGTGACCTGAGCACCAAAGGCAGAAGCTTAACTGACTGAGCCACCCAGGCATCCCATATGTCTGGCTTCCTTCAGCATGATTTTGAGATTCATTTATGTTTCCTTTTGCGGGGGGCGGGGGGTGGTCTGTCCCTGTTCATTGCTGTATAGTATTCCATCCTATGGGTCTCCTCCTAATTGAATTATTCATCCTACATTTTTTTCTTCCAGTTTTCACATTAAAAAAAATTAAGATATCATTTACATGCAGCCCAATTCACCCATTTGAGTGTACAGTTCTGTTCTGTGAGTTCTGATAAATGCATGCCGTTGTGTACCCAGCACCACAGTCAGGACATAGAACACTTCCATTCTCCCCTTGATAGGTTATTCGGCATGATATAATCCCGAATGGAGTGGAACTGCTGGGTTGCAATGTGTTCCTTAAGCATTAGCACTTTCCATGTGGTTGCTATACTGTTCTTCCCACCAGCAGAATCTGAGAGTTCTGTTGCTCCATTTGCTCAGCAAAATAGGTCAATTCCAATGTTTCTCTCTTAGCCAGAAAATCTGATTGTTGTATATAACAAAGACTTTTCTGTAGTGCTGAACCCACCCACGCTGGCGTGATAGTGGCAAGGCCTCAAGCATTGTAAACCCAGCTTCTTTTCTGACTCTCCTATATGGGAATATTAGTCTTTCGATTTTCCTCAGGTCAGATTCTTTGAAAAGTGACTCCTTGGAGTTAATTGGCTGTATGTCATTGACTTGACCCCATCCACAGCCTTCTAGAAAACTTGGGATTTCTAAAAAGTCCTCAACCTTGGAATTGAGCACAAAGGCACCCACTTTCCAGAGGCAAGAAAACCGTAGGTGCAGAAAGGAGGGATGTTTAGACAGGGAGGTCCTGGCCTTGTGGAATCTGGAAACAATCAGGAGAGGGAAGTTGAGTAATGACAGAGAAGTTGCTGGTCTATGGCCAGGAAAGTCATGCCTTGAGAGAATGCCGCAGGATGTGGACTTGTTCACAGCCGATTGTTCAAAGAAGACAGTTGGTTATGGGACAGAAGGTAAGAAGCATTCCCACCCAACCCACACAGGAATTTGTGGGGTGCCAGGGGGTATGAGGCAAGGGCTGAGTCTGCCCCACCTAGCCCACACCAGCAGACGCCCCTGGGAGGGAGTGGTTGCACCCGCCAGCAGCAGCCAGGCTCTGAGTCAGCGGTCCCGGGGCAGCGGGAGGGGAGGGAGCCTCACGTGGCTGGGCTTGAGCTGCCTCGTGGGGCCTCCTGGCTGTCAGCCCTTCAGGAAGCATGGCTGTTTGAAAGGACGAATCACACATGGCCTCATCCTCCTGGAGCCCAGCCAAGATGGCTTCCATGGGGCCCAGGGCTCCCTGAGGGTGGGATGGAGCTCCCAGGTTTGGGTTGTACAAGGTAAGCAGGGCTGGGGTTGAAGGAGGCTTATGGCCTTCTGGAGCTGGGAGCAGGGGCTGAGCCAGCCCCTAGGGGGACTATGAGGTGACAGGGGAGAAGGGGACACACCAGGGGAAGGGAGGGGGTAGGCTGAAATCTCTTGACATGCACACTTCCCTTAACACATGTGTTCACTTCAGGAAAGTTACTTGTTCTCCCATGTCTTAACTTCCACATCTAAAAAATGGGAATTGTAAAGACCCTCCTCCAAATGGTTTTGGATTGGATCAATAGAGTTAGTGTATGTAAAGCACTCAGAACAGAGTCTTGTCTACAGCAAATGCCCTACAAGAGTCTGCTAGGACTGTTACGATTTAAGGCCAGTGTGAAGATTACAAGATTACAAGATCAGACAGGTAAAAAGGAGGAGCCTGAAGACAATTAAAAGAGAGGGGTCTAGGCTGAGAGTTTCTTTCCATTCTGCACATGGGCAAGAGCAGTCAGGTGCCATTTCTGCCTGGTCATGGGTTGCAGAAGAAAAGCCCAGCTGTTGTGTGTAGGCTGGTAGCCTACTGCACCAGTCCAGGTAGCAGTTAAGAAGCTGTGGAAGGGGATGTTGTGGAGAGAAAGGAGGAAGCCATCTGTGTGGCCAGTGGGAGGCTGCCTGCACAGGGCAATGCCATCTTTGAGGTGATCTAGGGAGGAGCAGGGGGACAAAAGGACAAGGCTTGCCTGACTTTGGTCCCCTTGGTTCTAGGGCAACCTTATCAATTTAATCTCAGCCTGCCTGGATTCTCGAAAAGGCAGATTCCTTCTTCTTAGTTTGCTACTCTACTCTTCAAGAAACGGCTAGACTTCTTAATCAGGGAGTCGTTAAAAAAATCCACTGCCTGGGCGCCTGGGTGGCTCAGTGGGTTGGGGCCTCTGCCTTCGGCTCGGGTCATGATCCCAGGGTCCTGGGATTGAGCCCCATATCGGGCTCTCTGCTCAGCAGGGAGCCTGCTTCCTCCTCTCTCTCTCTGCCTGCCTCTCTGCCTACTTGTGATCTCTGTCTGTCAAATAAATAAATAAACAAAATCTTTAAAAAAAAAATCCACTGCCTGGGGCTGGCAGATTCCACCCAACTGCCCTCCCCACATTCAGAAGTAGGTGGCTGCTCTGCTAGTCTAGCCTGAGGACTCAAGATGATCAGTAAGGGTTTCCAGCTGTCAAAAACCAATGGGGCTGTCTCTAAGGAGTGAGCTCCCTGTCCCTGGAGGTGTGTAACTAGGACCAGGGAGTTGGTCCTGATGTCTAGGAGCAGCAGCAGAACTTCCCAAGCCAGCCTGCCCACCAGTGTTTCACGACAATGCTGTGGTTTGGGTAGGTGGGGAATGGAAACTGCTTTGCAAATTGAATCAGTGTAAGTCACTGTGCAGACATCACAGTGGTGGGCACCAAGGGGTACTGGAAAAGGGGCACTATGGGGTAGGCCTCGCCCTGACGTGGGGCAGACAGTAGTGTAGGGTGGTAGTCTGGGGAAGGGGCCAATGCAAGAGGCTGTAGGCATACCAGCCCCCCCACCCCAATTCAGAGGTCCACGGAGAATAGCAGGGCTGGGGAATGGGGTGATGGGCAACTCTGCCCACAGCCAGAGGGAGGGGAGGGGAAATGATAGGAAGGTGTGGTCTCCAGCCACTTCTAGACAGGTGGGCCAGGACTTAAATCCAGCAACCTGCTTCCTTGAAGTTCCTCTAATTTTTTTGTAGTGCTTTGTCTAATTTTACTTTTCTTCCTTCTCTACCCAGTTTCTTCTGTCTCTACCTTTCTCTCTCTCCATCCATATCCCACAAGCCCACATCTGTACTTACTATGCCTGGCCCGGCCATGATCTGTAGGGTAACCACTATGAAGGCCTCACACACACGAACATGCGACACATGCTACCTCCATCCCACTCCGGCTGTTCCATTTGGTCTTCAGGGCAGTTCTTACAACTCCAAGAAGCACCAGGAAGTTCAGCCCGTCCATCTCTCTGCTTCTGACTCCCATCAGACCAGAAGGCCCCACTTGCTTTCCAGTGATGACCCACACCTCTCTGACACCTTTTCCAATCCTGCCTCTGTATTAACAGTTGTCAACATTTATAGATTTACTGAGTGCCTACCTTAGGCCAGGCAACACCCTGACCTCCTCACATGCTGCCTCACTTAGGAATGAATTAGACTGTATAGAACATCAACCCCACACAGCTGTTTAGCAAAATCAATGTGTGTGCTCTTCCCTCAGGAGGAAGGCCCTGCAGCATCTTGGGGGAACTCAGGCTCCTTCCTGCCTCGCTGTCCTCAGCTTCCGGGGTTTTAACCCAGAAGGCACAGGTTGGCTGAAGGCTGCAAAAAGTTGGGAATGGCACCTGACTCCTCTCTGCTCGTTATCAGGACACCACCCCCATCTGGGTCTTTCACAGCCCTCCACGGTAGTGGCTCAGGCAGCTTCTCACTGCTGTCTCCTTCACATACTTCACACAGGGCCAGCCGGCCCCTTGGTGGCCTGGGACTTGGAGTGGATTCACTGCCCAGAGTGGATAGAGGCTAGAATACTGTGTTCCAGATGCCAGGTGGCCCCAAGCAACCAGAGCCCTCTGCCAGTTTTCTGCTGTAATCATCTAGCAGACATGGGTTCTGGCTAAGGGTGATAGGGACCGGGAACCAGGAACTGAGCCACCATGACCCCCAGCCTTGTGACTGGGTCCCCACACCATCTCTGGGTCTGCCCGTCCATCTACCATTTATGGGTTGTACCTGTGGTCAAAATGCCCACACACCCGGCCCCCTGGCCACTTCCTCTAGCCTTCCTTACTTTCCCCCGCCCACGTTCTATGGCCAGAGGGGCCAGGAATACATCCCCTGCCCTTGGAGGGTCCTGACTCCAGGGTCCCTGCCTGGGCTGCCCTGTTCTTCATTTCTTCAGTCACCAAGGAGTGTGCATGGCCCTGGGGAGAGTGGGTGAGTACCTTAGCCTGGGTATGCCCCCTGGGAGACGTCACCATCACAGACAGACCCTCAACAATGGGTGCAAAGGGGCAACTGAATGCTAATGGGCAGTCCAGGCAAGACGGTTGCCCCTCTTTTGGTCTGAGCACATCTGGAAGGGCAAAAGAAAGGGAAGGGCATTCCAGGCTGAGGGAACAGCTGGTGTGGCGGCTCTGAGGCACGGACCATGGGGTCTTGAGCCCTTCACATGCCCGTAGCTAAAAGAGCGTGTAGGTGCATGGCCCAGGGTAGGCAGTGAGGCTCAGGACAGATCTTGCAGGGCCCCAAACACCTCTGGGTGGGGCTTTTATCCCACCGTTTGTCTCTGGCCGCTGGTAGCTGCCAGTGCCCCTTTCAGTGTGAAGTAAGTCTCTTTACTTTGATGACTCCCTCAAAGATGGGTCACCTTGTTAGTGGTGGGAATATGAAGATAAACTGGTAAGCCTGCTAAACCCTACGGGGCTTCTTCACTGGGGCCCAACGAAGTGACTCACCTGTCACGGACACACCGCTGGTGGCAGGGTGGGGACAAATTTAAATCGTTCTACTCCAAAACGGTCTGTTTCCTCATTTGGAAAAGAACGGAATCTGACTAACTGGAAGCTCACATTTCATTTGCATTCGACACTTCCGTTGCAAAGTGCCACCAGGGTCCTCATCGAACTAGGAGAACTGTTGTGTTTGGCTCCCAGAGCGTTTAAAAAGCTCTGGTCTTAACCCGCTGCGGGAATCCACAACCCCAAACCCTCCCCCACCGACAGCCTAAACATGCATCTTTCTCCTAAAATCACAATTTCCACGAATAAAGCCTAGGAATCTGCGTTTTAACAGGCACCGCGGTGACTCCCACGCATACTGGCCAGTTCGAGAACCGGCCCCGCACCTTTATTTAGGCCCCATGAGCCTCACAAGGCTGGCAGGGACCGCAGAGGACCGACCCGCGCCAGCCCGCGACGATGCGGCCACCGGGCCTTTTCCGGAAGGTTCACGCTCCGGGACGCTGCGCCCCCTCGCGGTGCCCTGGGGCTCGGCTGCTCCAGGCCTCGCCGCGGGACTCCAGCAATACCAGGTTTGGAGATAACCCGCGAGGGTCCCGCTGGGAGTTCGAAGTAAGGGGTCTTTGGTCAGAGGGCGAAAGCCGCCCCTGCCGGGGTCGGGGGGCGTCCAGGTGTCAGAACACCACCCCTCCCCACTCTCGGAACAGTACACCTGGCGTGGGGGCCCCACCTGACGTGGGGGGGCCTCGCCCCGCCCCCCTCCCGCGCGCGTCAGCTCGTGCGCGCGCCCGCGACCGGCGTACGCAGGCGCTCAGGGGCCGCGCAGCCGCCATTGCTCTCCTGCTGCGGAGTGGCGAGGCCTGTGAGTAGAAGTCCGCGGGCAAGGAAGGAAGGGTGAGTATGAGGCCCGGAGGATAGCGGCTCAAGGCTGAAGGGGCAGCACACTCGGTTGGGTGCTCCTCTTAGGGCTGTTTGACAGGAGCAAGGAACTACAACTCCCGAAATGCACTGCGCCGCAGGCTTGCGCGAGACAGTGACGTGAGGGTTTGGTCGCTACCATTTCGCTGTGACTTGGGGGGACACGGTGGCGAAGACTGATGACGTGCTCTTCGTGAGGCTGGGGTGGGGGTCACCGGAGGTCCTCGCGGCTCAGCGGGCTGCAGTTCTCAAAGTTCCTTCGCGAAACTTCTTGCTTGACCAATTTAAACGGACGATTTACTTACCCTAAATTAGAGATCAAGATATCAGCTTCCGGTGTGCCGGCTGCCTTCCCAACCCCGGGCCGGCCACTGAGTCAGCCAGACGATACTATTATTAGTAGTGTCATTATTTAGTCGACTTTATTTTTAAGTACTCCGAAACTTGTAGAAGATTTCAGGAGTTTTCTTACAAAGAACTACCGTACACCCTTTGACAATTAAGTTGGCTGCCGCTACGGTGCAGTTTTACCTCTGTATTTAGTGGTACTTCGGTGTGTATTTTCTAAAAACGAGCACATTCTCCTACATCCAGAATCAGGTAACAATGATCAAGACTATTACCTAAGCTGTTTCCAGTTGTCCTAATAATGCTGTATGTTGAAACGACCCTTTTGGCTGGGGACCCCACGGCATGGTGTGTTCAGCTGCCCTGTCTCCTTAGTTTCCTCTGGAGCAGCTCCCCAGCATCCCTTGACTCTCATGACTTTGACACTTTAGAAGATTCCTGGCCATTTATTTTGTAGAGCCCGGTTTGGGGTTGTCTGAGATTTCTTCACCAGTTGACTCTGTGGTGGACAGAAGTGCTGCTGACCAGACGCCATTATTCAGAGGTAGGGAGTGCCTCTTGGTTGGCGGAGGAGGACCCGTGACCAGTCACAGCAGCCTTCACACATGCTCCGAGACCCGTTTTGTGGTTGCCTGCGCTGCTGGGCTTTCACACTCACCAAGGTCTCTGGCTTCCCTGTAGTGTCCACCCTGGCCATGGTCCATGCTTTCCTCATCCACACCTTGCGGGCTCCACAGGCCCAGGACCCGGGCCTTTGCCGAGTGCTCTACTCCTGCGTCTTTGGTGCTGAGAACTCACCGGATGACCCACGACCACGTGGTGCTGAGAGGGACAGACTCCTCCAAAAGGAGCAGATTTTGGCTGTGGCCAGGTAATGCAAGCCTTCATTGAACACATGCCCAGTTGTGATAGGTTTTCTGGGAGGGTACAGAGAATCAGACTAAGAAGCAGAAAGTTTGAGTACTGTTTCCACAAGTCACCCATGGTTGTTCACAAGTATTTTATGAAAAGGAGTTAAAGAAATAATAATGCTATCATCATCATCATTACCATTATAGCTCGCCTTAATTGAGCTTGTACGTATGTGCTAAGTGTTCTGAGCATTTCATGTATATGAACTCATTCTTTTAACAGTCCACTGAGATAGATATGGTTATTATCCCCACCTCTCAGGAGGCACAGGAACTTAACCAGCCCGAGGTTACGCAGCTAGAACATGGCAGGCAGACCTTGGAACAGATTAAACATGCTTTGCAGTGCAGGACTTTTCAGAGCGATTAGTATATGTGTGGGTTTTATGAATCCATAAGGAGGAGAGAGAATGTGGTACATAGGAACTCTGAGCCCAGAGCCTCCTGAAAGCCTGGGATCCACTGAGAACATTTAGGAAACTGTTCCAGATGTGGTGGTTGGCCTTGGTCTTTCCCATCCCAGGCCAAGATGGAGCCAGCAAGTGCCAGAATCTTTTGCCTTTCTGCATTCTATGGTGGGTGGGTGGGGTGTGAGGTGGGGGGGATTAACATTCTGGGGCAGCTCTTTGCTAGCCTTTGCCATCCCTTTTTTTCTCTGGGCACAGAGAAACCAAAGGCACAGAAAAGGAAAAGCCTTTAAAACCAGCTTGTGCACGGCCCAAATTAGAAGGTGATTCAGGAGAGATCAGAGTGTGATTTCTAAAGCCTAAATGGTCAAGTGGAAGGTCTTTCTTTGTTGTTTGGAGGGGTTGCAGGTTAGGACAGGGGTAGAGAGATTGGACAGTGCAGTTGAAAATGACTTTAACTTCTCATGGCTTGCTTTTTTAAAAAGATTTTATTTATTTATTTGACAAAGAGAGAGAAAGAGCACAAGCAGGAGAAGCTGCAGGCAGAGGGAGAGGGAGAAGCAGGCTCCCTACTGAGCAAGAAGTCTGATGTAGGACTCAATCCCAGGACCCTGGGATCATGACCTGAGCCAAAGGCAGACGCTTAACCAACTGAGCCACCCAGGCAACCCAAGGCTTGCATTTCTTTATGTTAAGGAGCCCTCTGTGAAGCTGGTGGGGGCAGAGTCTTTTTCCCCTGGTGCCCTTTCCTGGCCCAAGGGACTGTGTTCAAAACCTGCCTTCTCTTGAACACATGGAATGAAATGGTTCAGGGCCTGGAGGCAGGAGCCTGGATTCCTGTCATGGCTCATGCTTCCTGCGCTGTGGTCTTGAGCAGGTTATTTAGTCTCTCTGGGGCTCAGTTTCTACATCTGAGATATGGAGTTCATAGCAGTTCTCAGTTCTCAGGGTGGTGATGAGGATGACAGAAGTCAGTGACCCACCCACTCTCCACAGGCAGGTGGACTCCATGTGCCAGCTGCAGCAGCAGGCATCTGGCCGGACCCCCATGGACCTGCAGCCTCAGTCGTCAGATGAGCCAGTGCACCTGCATGAGGCCCCCCTTGGGGCCTTCCGCCTGGCAGCAGGGGACCCTTTTCAGGAGCCTCGGACAGTGGTATGGCTGGGTGTGCTCTCATTAGGATTTGCCCTGGTGCTGGATGCCCACGAGAACCTGCTGCTGGCTGAGGGCACACTCCGGCTGCTGGCACGCCTCCTCCTCGACCACCTCCGGCTGCTGACCCCCAGCACCAACCTCCTGCTTCGGGCTGATCGCATCGAGGGCATCCTCGCCCGCTTCTTGCCCCATGGTCAACTGCTCTTCCTCAATGACCAGTTTGTCCAGGGTCTGGAGAAGGAATTCAGTGCTGCATGGCCCCGCTGATCCCTCACTGGGATGGGACTTCCTGAGAGGGCAAGGAGGGAGGACAGGGATGGGTGGACACACAGCCAGGTGAAGCTTGGCATTGGCCTCCTTCACAACCTGCCCCCGGCTCTGGTGTGGTACCATACACAGGATGAGTGGACAGCACAAACTGTCCATAACAGTGGACAGAAGAGGGGGCTGGCCAAAGGACGGTGGGGAGGAATCCCAGAACATCCTGTACCTGGCGTTGCCATGTGACTTATTCATACTGCTGCAGTGGGCCAGCCCCACCTGTCCGTGACCCCAGTTTCTCCCATCTTCAGCAGCCAGCCCCCAAAACAGTCCACCAGTTGCTAGTGTTAGAGCATAAAGAACAGAACTCAGTCTACTTTCTCCTTCTAAACCCACAGTCAGTCATTGCAACCCAAAGGGAATCTGAGACTCCCAGGGTCGGGGAGCTGGCTGCTGCTGCCTTTGTACCTACTTAGGCAACATTATCAGTAAGGATTTTGGGGGCCCCTGGGTGGCTCAGTCATTAAGCATCTGCCTTCAGCCCAGGTCATGATCCCAGGGTCCTGGGGTGGAGCCCCACATCCGGTTCCCTGCTCAGCAGGAAGCCTGCTCTCCTTCTCCCACTACCCCCTGCTTGTGTTCCCTCTCTTGTTGTCCCTCTCTGTCAAATTAATAAAATCTTTTTTAAAAAAATAAGGATTTTGTCAGTGAGCACTTGTTTGGTGTCCAGTCCCACCACAGTTCCCAAATGTGTCATTCACTTAGCAGGGGGATTCTGTAGCTCATTTTGGGCCCAGCCCTTGCCCACCAGGCAACCTTGAGATAATCATAGGTTTCCTTGTCTGTAGAGAGAGAAGGTACCATCAGGTGGGCGCAAGAGGTCTAGCCAGGATGAAGTTGTCTTTCTCATTTTGAGTTAAAAGCACTGTGTGATTTCATGCTCCCATTTCTGTAAATTTGGCTAATGCATGTTTGCTACAATGAGTACTTACTTCCTTGTATGGCCCTGAGCTGGGTATCTGAGCCTTTTTGGTCAGAGAGGCCCCCAAGAAGCATCTTGGGAGGTTTCTACCTCTTGTGCCGCCACATCACCCCTGTCTCCTTATGTGCCTCCTTTGGAGGGTAGCTCTTGTTTTCTCTACCAAAATGTGGTGGGTTGGTGTGGATCTCTGAGAAGCAGAGCCTGAGATAAGGATTAAGTACAAGTAGTTTACGTGGAGGTGGGAGGTCTTCCACCCCGTGGCGTTGGTGCATCCCTAAGTGTTGCAATGGCAGTTGTGTGAGCTGTCATCCCACCTGCAGCGGGATGCTCAGCACTGCCCCCGCACATCATTTATGTCTCTGAGTCATCTCTGCTTCTTTGGTGGTGTCCACTCACTTGGGTCTCAAAACATGCGGCTCCTCTCTTTTCTCTGTGGTGCTGTGTCCGCCCAGACTCAGAATACACATTCTTTCCCTTGATGCCACCTCGAATCAGGCATTTGGGTGTAGCAAACTTTTACTAAAGTTTAGGGGGATAGAGGAGAGTTATCTTAAAGAACAAAGAGCATGGGGCGCCTGGGTTAAGCCTCTGCGTTGAGTTCAGGTCATGATCTTAGGCTCGTGCTGCATCGGGCTCTCTTCTCAGCAGGGAGTCTGCATCCCCTGCCCCCCCGCCTCTGTCTGCCTGCCTCTCTGCCTACTTGTGCTCTCTCTCTCTATCAAATAAATAAATAAAATCTTCAAAAAAAAAAAAAAAGAACAAAGAGCAAAAAACTTAAGATTGATTGTTAGACATTCCTGTTCTCTGAATCTCTGGACCATTCCCTCCTAAGGGTCTTCTTACTCCTAGCTCCTCTCGGAGCCTCAGCGTCCCATCAACTTTCAGGCTGTTCCCTTCTTTTTTTTTTTTTTAATTAACAATTGTTTCTCTTATTTTTATTGTAAAATATATATAACATAAGATTGACAATTTTAACCATTTTTAAGCATACAATTTAGTGGCATTACATGCGATCACAGCATTGTATGTTTCCAGCATGTTTTCGTCATGGGAAGCGGAAACTGTGCGTCCACTAAGTAGTACCTCCCCGTGCTGCCTCTGTGCTGTGCTCAGCAGTCTTGTTTCATTTGTGTTCATTCCCCCTCTCCCATTCATACTGAGCAGCATAGGGCCTCATCCCCAACCCAGCTTGGCTCCAGGCCTGCCTGTTGGTGACCTACCTGTGCCCACCTGAAAAAGAGAAAGAAAAAGACTGTTCTGAGTCTCCATCGGCAGCAACTGAAAGCACATTTTCAGTTCTGCTTTGAACTCACAAACTCTTACAGGACATGATTAAATTCTGAAGCAAGAATCCCTTCCCCACTAATGTTTGTAGGCTGAAGGGGACCATAGAAAGATCTGTCCTTCCAGACATGAATTATATATACCCCTTAAGAAGCAGATACAACTATTCTAACCTTTTTTTTTTTTTTTAAGATTTTATCCATTCATTTGACAGACAGAGACCACAAGTAGGCAGAGAGGCAGGCAGAGAGAGAAGAGGAAGCAGGCTCCCCACTGAGGAGAGAGCCCGATGCTGGGCTCGATCCCAGGATCCTGGGCCCATGACCCGAGCAGAGGCTTTAACCCACTGAGCCACCCAGGCACCCCGCTATTCTAACTTTTTAAAATCCGTTTTTCCACCCCCCCAATACATATGTTTATTTGTGTGCTCTTTAGTTTAAAGATATTTCCTTTTCCAATCAGGCTGTGACCTCCAGGAGGATTCACATTGCGTCTCTTGTTTTCTAAAATTAAACATAGCACCTGGCACATAGCAGGCACCCAAAATATATGAAACAAATGAATGGATGAATGCATGAATGAGTAGGTGGTTTATAGGAGACCGTTGGGGCCAGGGACTCTGCAACATCATCATGTAACAACTTCTTTCTCCTGGGAAGCAGATAGAAATAACACACTGCCTCTGTTATCTCTCAAGGATGGGACACCCAGGACCACACGTCCCTTTCCCAGATGATAAGCTGTTTGTTAGAGCAAAGGAAACAGTGGTGTAGCATTTGCAAGTTTCCTGCTACAGCCTCCCTGTTTCAGAACTTAGGCTGGCTTGCTTTCTACACTGCTGTTAAAGGGAAGGAATGATTTTTCCCTTCAGTGTTCTGAAAGAGGTTAGCATTATGATTGGGTGTTATCATAGGCCTATGATTTCTGCCCTGGGTAAAGGTGAGTAAAAGAGTGGTAGAACTCCTCTGCTCCCTGAAATAATCGCCTGGTTTATGAAGTCTATCAGTGGGCAGAGTCACACCTTTGTCCACCCCAATTATGCAGGCCATGGCAGCTTGAGGGCCCAGAAATCTTTGGCCCAGCAAAGACTCTGCCTTCAGTTAGAGTTGACAGCACAGCATTTACTCTCTGGGCATTGCTTGGGGTGCTTACTTGATCAACAGTAAAAGAACATTGAAGCCCTTTGACAGGTGTTTGTTTCAATGAGATATTTAAGTAGCATTATGCATAAATGATCTGAGGTATCTCTTCGTTATATGAAAATATCCATCATTTCTTGGGGCGCCTGGGTGGCTCAGTGGGTTAGGGCCTCTGCCTTCAGCTTGGGTCATGATCCCAGAGTCCTGGGATCGAGCCCCGCATCAGGCTCTCTGCTCAGTGGGGAGCCTGCTTCCCCCTCTCTCTATCTCTGCCTGCCTCTCTGCCTGCTTGTGATCTCTCTCTCTCTCTCTCTGTCAAATAGATTAAAAAAATCTTAAAAGAAAATATCCATCATTTCTTTTAGTGATCAAGTCTCAGATTCTGCTAATACCATTGCCACTTGTGGCCAACATTTAAAAAGGAAAAAAAATTACAAAAGGCAATTTTGGAATTGGAGGATGATGGATATGTTCATTATCTTGATTGTGATGATAGTTTGGCAAGTATACACATATGTCAAATCTCATCAAATTGTACACTTTAAATATGTGTAGCAGTCAGGAGATAGAGAATCCCACCAACAGAGCCCTGGGTGCTCACAGAGAGAGAGGAAATGTTGTTTAAAAGCTCAATGACTATTTCAGTATAACTGGGATTTTGGGGTAATCCCATGTATTTTTAAATGCCTTTTAAAATACTACTCTGGCTTCCAGACTTGACCAGACAATCCAAGGAGTCATTGGCCTGAACCAGGTTAAGCATCCATGCCCTAAAGAAACAGAATAGCCCCATCCATAAGAGCCTTGTGTTCTGGCCTGCAGAGGCTCTGGTACAGGTCAGTCCCCATCTGCCTGCCCCAGAAAGAAGTCAACCAGTGGATGTGCACAGAACTTCCCCAGTGCTTTTTATTGCCTCGTTCTTTTTTTTTTTTTTTTAAGGTTTTTATTTATTTATTTGACAAAGACACAATGAGAGAGGGAACACAAGCAGGGGGAGCAGGAGAGGGAGAAGCAGGCTTCCTGCCAAGAAGGGAGCCCGATGCGGGGCTCCATGCGGGGCTTAGTCCCAGGACCCTGGGATCATGACCTGAGCTGAAGGCAGATGTCTAACGACTGAGCCACCCAGGCACCCCTATTTCCTCATTCTTTTTTTTTTTTTTTTTTAGATTTTATTTATTTGACAGATACAGCAAGAGAGGGAACACAAGCAGGGGAAGTGAGAGAGGGAGAAGCAGGCTCCCCGCTGAACAGGGAGCCCAATGTGGGTCTCCATCCCAGCACCCCGGGATCTTGACCTGAGCTGAAGGCAGACGCTCAACGACTGAGCCACCCAGGTGCCCCCTATTGCCTCATTCTTAATGCAAAAAAATGTTCATCAGACGTTAGGGGAAAGACTGCCAATGCAAAAAATAAACTAAGAAAACAGCAAAAAAATGGCTTTAGAAGAAAACCATGCAGTTGGAACAGTAGGAAAAAAAATTTTTTTAAGCTCTCTCCCTACTATTCTTAGTAATTAGATTCAGGAAGATCTCACATCCCTGAGGTTTGCCTTATGGAACAACAGAGAATAAGAATGAGTTCTCAGAAAGTGAAGGTATTGCTTACATTAAACATTAATTTGAAGATCTGGAAAATGAAGGAACCCAGGAAACAGGACAAAATAAAGGAACAGAAAGGTAAGATTTAGGGAATCTTGTTGCTTGTTGAAAACAAAGAGAGTACTTGGGATTTGCTGGCTGGTTCCAGGAGTGGGGGGTATGGTGGGTGCTGGGGACTAGATTGCCCTGACTTCTCATTCCACCCTTTATTCACACCCTTGCACTGTGGCTTTACGTCACCTTCTGGAAGAGGTGGAAATCTATTTCCACTGCCCTCGAATCTGGGCCAGTCTTAGTGACTAGCTTTGGCCAGCAGAATGTGGCAGAAGTGATGTGCTATATTGGAGCCAAGGCCCGAAGAGCATTTTGAGCTCTCTCTTGGAAAGCTGCCCAGCCATCATGAAAACAAGCCTAGGTTAGCCTGCTGGAGAGTGAGAGACCACATGAGACAGAGGTGATCCATCCCAGCTGAGCCCATCGTCAGCCAGTCAGTTCCCAACAGATTTGGTAACTGGCATGAGTGAGCCCAACTAAGTTGAGAACTGGCTAGCTGAGCTCAGTAC